GGGGTGTCAGATCCGGAGCCGACAGCCTCGATCATCTCATTTGGACGGATCTGATTGTTTAGAGTCATTACGGCGAGTTGCAACCACCCTGCCCTTGCTAAACACGCTCCGCCTGGCGAGCAAAAACGGGCGGTGGGAGCTCATCTGCAGGCAGGGAGATGGCAGCAAGCGCCCGCCGCACGGCGCGCAGCCGGCAGCCGAGCGCGGGTGTTTGCTCCCCCTGCTCCAGCGATTCCCACCCAGCTCCTTTCCAGGCTGGGAAAAACGTCCCGGCACTCGCTGATCTCCCAGCGAGGGGCTTGAGCGGAGCAGCAGTTCCCGACAGCCGGGAGCAGCACCAGCGCTCAGAAAAAGCAAGGTGGGACTGGATGCAAGATTTGCAGCCACGAAACAAGGAAGACAAAAAGCCCCTGACGTTGTGGCAGCTCGAATTTTACCCTATCTTCTTGCCAAACTTATTTTAAGCCGCTCTTGCGAACTGGCTTCGAGGGGAAGGGGTTGAAAGCGTTTGTAAGGATCTGGTAGCAAAATGCAGGCTGGGGGTTGGAGGGGAGCACCCAGAGCTCACCCACACCTAAGTTCGGGCTCCTCGGGGTCCATTTTGAGGACGAGCCTTCGCAGCGGCACAAACCCGCACCCTCCCTGGGACCCTGGATCTACCATCCCAGGGCACGAGGGCTCCCGCGCCGTCCAACCCCCGCCCTGCTGCAGAGCCTCCTGCTCTCGGGTGCTCCCCACAGCCGAGGGCCAGGGGGAGACGACCTCTCCGAAGCCCCTGCTAACAGCAAAGCCAGAGCGTGTGCCATCAGCAACCCCTCCTGTACCTCCCACCGTGCAGGCTGCGCCGGCCGGGCTCGGCGAGATGGAGATGGTGGGGGTGTGGGGAGCTCAGCGCCGCTCAGCCCCCCCGTGCCAGCTGCTGGGAGGAAAGGGGCTCGCCGAAGCCTTTTACCCCTCATCTTATTCAGCCAGGACGACCGAATTCAGGAGCCCCAGAAGACGCAGAGCAACGCTGCTCTCCCGAGAGCCCCGGCGCGACGCCTGCCACACCGCTCTACCTCCCGCGCTCCCCCCTCCACCCGCCTCAGGGTGGAAAACACCATCCACGTGCACGCAACGCGCAGCAGAAGGGTCCCGTTAGGTGCTGCTACAGACACCTTCCTTGATGGACGCAGCTTTAACAGGGTTATCCCGCTCCTGCGCCGCGGCCCCAGGGAGCCGGTGGCCCAGCTGGCAGGAGCACCGTGGTTTGGAGCATCCGATTTTCTGCTGCTC